AAGGGCCAAGCATCATCCCAAATTGAGTTCTACCGCAAGACTTTTATTTTTCCTATTTTACCCTTAACAAAAGAAATAAAAATAAATTGATTTTTATAATATAATAAATAATTAAAGTTATAAATAAAAATAAATAGATTTTTTATAATATAATGAATAATTAAAGTTAAGGCATAATTATATAGTTAAAAAAATTATTTGGTTTTTTTAAAATATGAAAAAATTACAATCATTTTGGAATAAATTTTACATAAAAAATATTTATCATTCTAAAATAGTGAGAATATAAAAAATACAGCAATTAATATTTAATCTACTAATGACTTATTAGTTTAAGGAGAAAGAGTTTAATTTCTTTTAAATAAAATTTTAACTTCAAGTCTTATAAATAAAGCGATAGACGGTGAGAGAATTTCCTTTTTATAAGATCCAAATCAACTCGATTTTAAATTAATTAAGACTTAATATAATTTTTAAATACCAAAAATTTTAGTACCACAAAATAACTTTAAAATACCAAAAGGTTTAATAAAAAATAAAATATAAAAACTTGTCTCTCTTATCCATTAGATAATTGGTTAGAGTAATAAAAAAATACTACATGTACAATGCTTTTTAAATAGGCTAAACTCTTAATTTAGTCCCTAATTATTATATGGACTCTTGATTTAGTCCCTAAACTAAAAAAATCCTTAATTTAGTCCCTATTTGACCCCAACTTGATTATTTCTTTACGAAAAATTGATGTGTCCATCACTTAATGATAAAAAACTATTACTTAAGTGGCACATGTTACATTAATAATAAAACATGTCATCTACTTTTATACGGAATGATCAACTTTGAGTCAAATTTATAAATAGTAGAGGACCAAATTAAAATTTTTTTAATTTAAAAATTAAATTAAGGGTTCGTACAATAATTAAATTTTTTTTTTATTTGGGGTTACCTTTTATGCATAAATTGATATGCATATACTCACTCAAGTCACATTATTATATTTAAAAACATTATACCTATAATATTCATGGGGTAATTTTTAAATAATAACATTGATGTTTAGTTTAAAGATAAAAGATAGAAATAAAACATTAAATGCATAAATAGGATGAAAAAATTCAAAACATTCTAATATTAAAAATATTAGGACGTTCAATTAAAATTATATGATAAATAAGATATAATATAAATTCTACTTAAATTATAGCTAAAATTAAATGTTCTAACATCTTTAATATCAAAATATCATAATTTTTAATTTTCTAAAGACTAAATCAAAATACTAATAATTATTGATAAGTGGGGAGACCTAAATGACAGCAAGAAGAGTAAAAATGGAAATGAATGGCCTTGGATTTTCTTCCCAAAAGATCTGAGGCATGTTCGCAGGACAAAAGCTATTTTATTTACAATTTGTTCCAATTGTGTAAACTATATATTCTATAATTATTGACGGTAGAAAATCACCTTTTATCAATCGTTTTTAGTGAAGATATAATAAATAATATTTTTTTTCATGATATATTTATCATATAAATTAAAATATAATCAAATTGTCCAAACTCCAAACTAAAATATTCAATTATACAAATTAAAATATGGTATGATAAAATAATATTTTTATTTTAAAATAACCATAATTTTTTACTCAGAAGTTTATCTCAATTAATTATTGTTTTTTATATTTTTCATTTTTAAGGTAACAAATATTTCCTTCAACAAAATACCAAAGTTAGATTATTGTCACCATCCAGTTGTTATTACCATCGATTTAATTGTAATTTTATCAGTTTATAA